CAGTGTTAGTTTTCAATATTCTCATTGAATCGATATTTTATGAGAAATCCACTTATATCTCAACCTAAAACTGCCACAACAATTAGAGCAATATAAGCTTAGGTACCTAAAATTGCCGACCTCTAAACTTATCAGAAACCGTCTTATCGCCAACATTTATTTATAATCCAAAATGGTTCCAATGTCAGCTCGAAGTTTGTAAATAATGTAACAAAGTTAAGGCATTCATAGAGGGTACAATTAAACAGCGAATCACACAGTCTACTTTGTTTGACTTTTGTTGTCAATCTGTCCCAAGAGAATATTTAAGTTACATCTGATCTCTCGATCTCTTACCTTCGTTTCGTCGGCCTTGGGACACAAACCAAMGTAGCCACAATTGCCGCTGTTATTTTGAATACTCATGTTGTAAAATATATCCCCCATATTTGTTTACATGGTAAAATTAACAAGAAACCCCAAAATTATGATAGAAAACAAAATGGCGGGCTTTTTAAATTTGGAAACATACATTTAAATGTGCAAGCATGTAATTATGTGGTATGAACGCTGACCTATAGAATGCAGGCTTCGTTATGTGGAGAACTATAAAAAGCCCCCCAAAAAAACTTATAGAAAATTATTGTAGTATAAAAGTGCAATACTAATGTTGTGATAGTATAGATATATTTTCAGAGTTCGATTTTTTTTCCTTCTGGACGAGTTTCAAACACCTCTGGCATTTTTTCACATAATTCACTGCGCGTGTCAAGTTCTCCGGAGTTKTTCTTCTTATTTTTCTCTTCCTATTTCGTTTTTATGCCTTTTGTGCACTCAGAAAAACTATGGAAATACAGGCGTTTTCGTTTGCTCTGTATTCTTTTGTAAAACACGAAAATAAAGAACAAAAGTCATAAGAATTGAAACGTAATAAACAAAAACATCACAGCATGTGTCRACCAGTATCGCTTTGTCAAAACCCATGTTCACTGAATGATTGTCTTAAAGCTGTCATAAAAAAACGCTTAATGAGTTTTTAAATGTCATTTTCGGAAACACGGGATCCATTCAATGATGGATATTACCTTTGTGAACCTCGAATTCTTTAAATTTGAGTTGAATTTTAATCAATGCCATTGGAATACCACTAGCAAAGTTACAGAATCCGGGAAAAATGCCACGACATAGTCCTCGCGGCTTCTGGGAGTGAAGACGACGGAGTGAGAACATTAAATTGAAATTCATGAAAAACAATCTCAAATGTTCAAAGGTGCAATACTAGCTTGTCAAAAAAGAAGAAGGCAAGAAAACTTAGTGAAATACTAGTGCCGACCAGATCTATTGATGGAGTGTCCAGGCGGTTTAGAGAAGGCTCGGAACTCCTTTGGCAATTCACAATTGGATCTTTTAAATGACCGTGATATAGAGGATGTACATGGGCGCGCGGAGATACGGATTTTATCTTCGAGTGTTGAAAAGGTCTCTCAAGAGTGAATGTAGCGAATGAACAGTGATCAGTGGAAAACTATTAAAAATAACAGCTTACGTAATGGATAAATAGAGGTTTATAAATGATTATAACGCTAGTTTAGCGTTGTGTTCTGTTGTTATAGCCTGGTAGGTTTAACATTCATTTCTTGTGTGAAACATCGAGCAGATGTTAGTAATAATATGCACMTTTTARGAATCTCAACACCAGGACCTTTGAAACTAATCCGGAATCCACCAATGTTTGTCTTACTATCTGTTAACCCCTCACAATTAGGCTCCTTATGTATTAATTAATTAGATTTTAAAAATGAATGCTTGAGTCATCTCTAGTGAAATTATAAACAAGTGAAAAAGATATTATACCGATAAACTTCAATTTTTCCTATCTACGCACACTTTCGTCTCTACTACTAGATATTAGATTTTCACTTCCCGGTTGCAGTGACCTTGGGTAGGCTCAACCCTTAAAATTGCTAAGAACTAAAACACTRCAACATGTTTTCCGTTAGATCTTGTTGATTCTCAACACCACGGATTTTTTTGTTTCCGTTCATACAATCCTACTCACCTCTACAAAGAAAACCACAGCGTTTTTGAAGTCAAAGCTTCGTTTTCACAGGCAATAAACGCTATGTTCAGCCCAGAATGATGGAAAGGCAAACATTCACTTATATAAAGCTCTTTATGAACATATAACAATCGGCGCAAAAACTCAGATTAAAAGGAACGGAAATCGACCCAGATTGATATTACATAAACACGTGTTTAATGGGACAAATAAACGTCATTTTGTCGGAGGAAACGCGGYAGGGAAGATGGTTAATTTACCGAATGTTTGTACTGCCGATGAGACAAGGAAGGAAAAAAAATTGTCAGGTTCAAAAAGCTGGTAACATTATCGATCCTAAGAACGAAGGGGATGTTGGGTAATATGAAATTTGAATATTTCCCTCGTGTACATCATGAGCATTTCCTGAAGATGACATAATTATTTTATTTTTTACCAAATAATAAGCGCCAAAAAGGTTGCCCTCTTTAAAGGTTGCCGTGGCTTTGCATCAAAGCGAGACAGCAGTTGAACTTGCAATGATTGATGCCTGTGAATAATTGCCTTAAGCGTGAATGAAACGTATCTATCACTGCAGGCTCAACCGCAGTCTCTCTTTGATGCACAGGCTCAGCTACTTTTCAAGATGGCGCTGGGAACTRTGAAGAAAGCATTTCTAGTTATTAATTCAAGTTTTAACTGAAGACAATAATAGTATTTAAACTTTATTTACTTCCCATGAACAGTGGAAAACTAATCTACTCCTGAATATTGCCTTTACGTGTAAGGGGATAGTAATGCATTAGCCGAAAACCTTACGATTGTCGAACGACTTCGGTTCGATCCACGCCTAGCTACCACAATCCTTTTCGAACTATTTTCGAGTTTCTTGTTACGTCATGTCGCCAATTTTTCATTGCAATTTCAATGAARTGACACTTTTAATATACATAGAGATTACGAAATAAAGCGTTACCGGATTGGATAATTTTGAAAAGCTATTATTAAAAAATGCGTTTATATATTTCCGTTAACTACCGAAAAGGATTCTGGTAGTGTCATTACAAAATGAGGGTAAGTCTAAGATAAGCTAGATAAGCACTTCAATATCTGTATTTGCCATTGTTAAACAGTAATGAACTGGAACAAGTTTTGAAAAGGAGAAAAGCAAATATTCTCAATATATTKCACGTGTGCCATCTAGTGCCAGTCCATTACCGAGAATACGAATATGGCTATTGATTTTTTTAAGATTACAAAAGTATTTTACAAGCAATTTCTTATACGAATGGTAAATATAAGTAGCATATTTCATGGAATTTCAATACAGTCATCGGCTCCCATCAGGTGAATTCCTTTTTAAATGATCATCAAAAGGCAAAAAAGCCATTCAAATGTAGGTCAGAGGAAATTAAGTCAATTCAATGTTCAGAAATCCAYTGTATTATTGATCAGAAAGCAGAAAACTAGTCCAATATCGAGAAACCGATTTTCATAAAACCATTCAAACATCTCCAAAACAGAAAGCCATTCCAACGTTCAGGAAGCCACACCAATGTTYAGGAAGCCATTTCAAAGTTGATTCAAAAAGCCATTCCAATGTTCAGGAAGCCAATCCGATGTCCAGGAGGCCAATATAATGTCAATAAACAATATGTTTAAATAAAACGAGCATTAAATTGAACTTACATGGAAGTCTATGCATATTTACATACAGAACCCTACTGCAGGGCTTTGCGATAAATTCCTATAGCTTGGCAGATAAAACTGTGACCGTTATATCCCATAATCCATCTGAAATACGAGTACCCGGCACATAACAGTATTCTTCATATACGAGAATTCGTCATTATGTATTCACATTACACGAACGATCGTTATAACTAAGTGTATARCACCACCCGAGTATGCATAAGACCCGGGTTCATGCAATACCAGGATATCCTGTATAGGTACTGAATTATCCACAATACGTGGAAGATATACCCGGTTGTACATAATAGTCGAATGTAAATAATACCCGGGAGTAAGAAATATACCCGGTGTGGGTTACACCCAATTTCTTCCCAAGTCTTTGTACCCGCAATATGAGAGTGGTCGTTATACTCGAGTGTGCGCATAATACCCGGTTGCGTCAAATTACCGGGTGTGTCAATGAACACCCGAGTATCCCAATGTCCGTATATCACTAGAAGTCTGCTTCTCTATCAAAAAATTCAAATGTCGGTACTATAGAGCAGTAACCAAAACCGAAATTTTCTTATACATGCCTTGATCTCATACCACAATTCCAAAAAGGTTGAAACTACGTACAGCTATTTCAAACAACGTTGAGTACTGAATTCTGTGATGCTACATAGCGCATACCAAGACCGCAATGCATTACCAAATGACAATAGTCTTCTTCGGGGTGACCTACGTAGCACGCAGTTGATGTAATGTATTCATAAAATGTATTGTATTCCATTGTTTCTCGTTCTATTGTATTATGTGTTTTGTATTATATCTTTATGAATATATTACATCAACTGAGTGCTACGTAGATTCTCCCAGTCTTCTTCGCGGTTCCCTGCGCCATCTTGAAAGGTAGCCGTGCCTTTGCATCGAAGCGAGACGACTGTTGAGCGTGCAATGATAGAAACCCTCTTTCACACCTACAGACAATTATTCACAAGTATCTATTGCACGCTCAATGGTTGTTTGGCTTCGATATTAAGACAAGGCTACCTTTCAAGATGGCGCAGGGAACCGTGAAGGAGATTATTCTGAACTACATTGCTTTCCACGGCATCGTCACTATGAAACAATTAAAACCCCTTTTAGAGTGAGAGTTCGAACCCTCGAGTATCCGAACACTCCCATATGCGGGCGCCGAAGCTTCAYTGGAGAGTGCCCGCTCTCTGAATGTTTAGCTGTAAGTAAAAGCTGTTTCTGTAGCGTTTTCTGGCGAATAGATCGGATTACGGCGTGAAATTCCTACCCCGTCTTGTCCATCAGAGTTATTGACGCCATTAGGTTGATTATTTGWTCGGTCTCGCTTCATCATCATGATATTAGCACGCCATTTGTCKGTCGTTTTCTTRGCGAGTTCTTTCTGYTCTTCTTTCCATCCTCGATGTTTGTGGTAGAGGATTTCTAGGATGATAATGACGATACCAGCGCCGATACCAGCGGCGACCATGATAAATACCCCTATGGTAGTCAAATGGTAAGAATTAGCCAATGACTGCGCTCGTTAGATTGATATGGGAATGTATTCATCAATGACTGCGCGCGTTACATTTTCATGAGAAGAATTAGCCAATGGCTATACGTGTTTTATTGTTATAGGAAGATTGMCAATGATAACGCGCGTTAGAATGTTATGGGGAAAACTGTCCWATGACAACGCTTGTTATATCAAAATTCTACACAAAGTATTAACCAATGATAACACTTGTGTTATATTGTCCTTAGGGATCTTACCAAGCATATGATTCAATCCCAGCGTTGCTGGTGATGTGCTGTCCTCRGGGCAATTCTTGCCATCAATCCATCTGTTTTCAAGCTCCTCCATCACTCCACTCTCGTGAAAGTTCAATATCGCCAGGGAGATATCATTACTCCAAGAGGAACCCTGCACAATCGTTAYATATTTTGTTATATATACATAATTTCCCCGCAAGGGTGGAGGGGGGTGGGTGCAGATGTTTAAAGACTAGCTTCTAACGTTTTACGTACGTAACCAGTAAGCATAAGACGGTGAATGTACTCATCATACCTTTGGCATTCCTATACCGTAGCCAGATCTACCAAACAATTCCCCGGCTGTTGCAAGTTCACAGTCTTTTGACGCTTCGTARTACAGGAATGGAGAGTCCCAAATAAACGCRTTCAATTCACTGAATTAAACGTAAAATKYACGTTATTAATTACGTATTTACGTAAACATTAGTTAGCGTTTAGRTTTTGCTGTTTTTGATCTGCGTACTTACCCTTTTTTTACTTTTTCAATTCCTTCTTTGTCTGTTTTTACGTTATACGTTTCCATAAACGTGTACATTGAGGAGAGTTCAACTTGACGACGGAAATACGCGTCTACGCTGCTATTCGCTACGGTTCCGTACTTGAATTGGTCAGATGGGTTTCGAAGCTGTTCACGACAAATAGATTTTGTAAATAAGTGAGTTAGAGAAGGGAGAAATGGAAGGGAGGAGGGAAGGGAGGAGGGAAGG